AATATGTGGTGGTTAACAAGAAATTAAAACAAACCAATTATATTCATTAATTAAACAAATTTTAAGACTTATAAGTATTATCACATTCTTGTTTTTACAGGCTTTTCTATAAAATGGCTACTGTGCTAACTGGTTTACTTACCTAGTGGTTCGATCAGACTACCTTTAAGAAACCGTTTGGAGGCTTTCAGTTACTGGAGGCGATGACTTGGGTGACCTACTCCAGATTTCTTTCGGTTGTCATCGTAGTCAAATTACAAAATCCGAATGTGACTCTTTCCAAACCATCGTCATTTTACAATACTTTAGCCAGGCTTATTGAGATATTTTCCTTCGCACTTGGCTAATTGGAAAAGTCTCTAGCTCTCCAGACTAATAGAAAGTCGCCATCATTTCCTAATATGACTAGCACTTTAAGTGTATCGCAATGGGCCTAAATACTTTTAGGCTAAAAAAGATGTATCATTCGCTTCTCAATTAGCTTGATACATTTCAGACTGTTAGCAATGTACCCGTGCAAATGCTTTTAGGATAAAAAGATACCTTTCATTGCTCAGCCTGGGTTCAATATACTACTCTATCCTTTAGAGTAGTATAGTGAACCCAGGCTTATACAAAGCTTATTGTTAACAAGTCAAAGCAAATTTAGGTTGATTAGACAGATTTCTAATTAGCCTAAATGCATTTGGGGTGACTGCAATAAGGCAAATGCTTTGCAAAATGGAGACGACTCTTGCTAAGATTTCTCAATTGATGTATGACCAACATATGTTCCTCCATTACACAGCGTGTTATTGGGCCGCTTTTGAAATTCTTAGAACATGCAAATTATTTTTAGTACTAAAATTTAAAAATATCATTCAAAAAAATTCAACTCTTACTTTATGTAAGAAATTAAATCGGAAAAAAATTTTTTATATAAAATTATAATAAAAAACAATATATCTGATATTTCATTGAGTAAAAAATAGTTCATTGAGTTAATAATTTTGCACAGCACAACTGCGATTTCTGCGAAAATTATTCATACTTAAGTCAAAAAAACATTTCATAGATTTACCTTTCTGAAAATGTGTTGAACAAAATTCAAATCGGATATCGTACCAAATACAAATTGATAAAAAAAAAAAAAATTGCTCCATATAAAAAATTTAGCTGTACAACAAATTATAATTTCGAACTGTCTAGCACGTAAATTTTACTTAATTTGATATTAAATATTTGAAATTATGAAAATCATTGCTTTTATACCAGAGATCGTCGTTAACCTATTTTAATTTAGCAAATGTTATTGAATAAAAACGATTCCAATTCTGTTGAATGCACTTAACCCCTTTAGGACTGTGATCACAGTATCATATATAAAAAATGCCTTTCTGACTATATCGGCCCAATATGGTACTGTCTTGTTTTGTATTAGTATGTAAATGTCTTTAGTACGGATAAACTCTAATTTTGCTATCCTGGGAAAGTGCTTTTTTCTCTAAGTCTTGAAGGGGTTAAAATGACCACCATATAAAGTCTTGAGAGAACTGATATCAGGACTGCTACATAGTATTATATTTCATTACTTCAGCATCGATAAGATTTCGTAGCCTAATTTATCTTTTGTTTGAGTCTTTTTTTTTAATCAAAATAAATGTATTTCACAATAAAACTATTGTTTTTTAAACTACCTTCAGATTTTGAATTAACAGAACCGTTAGATTCACACTTTCTGAAATCCGTTTGGAATACACTAATGTGTCTGCAGCAATTATTTTTTAAGCAATTTAGAAACATTCAGTTTTAGATGTAATTAATGTTTTAAAACTTTAGTTATGAACTAACAGGTGGTAACTATTAGATTTACAAACAGTGTTGCAAATAGTTATTTTGCCAACATTTTCAACAACTCTTTTTCGTTCAAGTTTTTTGTGTTTAATACTTGAAAGTTTTTACTGTCAAACCTTACTTCACAATTGCTCTCTCATACTCTGGATGACAATGCATTTAGATCGACCTTCATTTAGGAGACTTGCATTTCTCCCAAATAATATTTCAATAAGAAATTTTTCATAACACTCTTCTCTTTTATTTATTTCTTTAATACCTAAGTGCACTACCAGGCTAAAAGTCCACAGAGGTACCCACCTAAAACATTATGACATGAGTTTTTTTCTTTCTTTTTCTTAAGTTTGTTCCCCTTAATACGTGGTTCGAAAACCAGTAATCACTTCAGCTGTGGTGGATGCCTAAAGTCAATACCTATTAGCACTTATCACAAACTGAGCAGGCTGTCGTTGAAGCAATGAAGGAACCAACACTTTCATGCAAAAAAATAAATGAGCTTTAGATTCAAATAAAATAAAGGGGAAAGTTGGACAAAACGGGATACCATTATTGCTTTTATTTACTACGGAAAATCTGTTAAAGAGAGCCACACATTATTTTTTTATAGCTACATCACTTATTGAAGCACAGAAAAAACATATTTAAAACTAATTTTAATGACTGTAAAATAGAAAAAAAAATCAGTTTCCAAACTCTTACATATCCCATTTTAGCATACCTGGGTTGGACAAAACGGGATAGGGTTTACAATGTTTAATTTCTTGTGTAAAGCTAACTGAAAAGCGTAATTAACTGACAGTAAAATTTCGAAAAATTGTATTTATGGGATTTTATTGCTTCTAACATTTTTATATAGACTGTTTTATAATTAAGTACACAAAAACTACGATGCTACATGTTTTTCAAGATTTTATGAGTTTTCAAACATGAACGCTTATTCCATAATTTTCACTGTTGAGATGTGTTTCGTGCCCTTAAGAGGGATTTCTTAACAGTTATCAACATTATAAATATCATTCGGAGTAATCTTATGTTTACTTAATTGAGAATTCAAAAAACTGCTTAACTGCAGTGCGATTAAACCCTTTTGCTCGGGCCATACTCGTGGGTTCTGAATTTCGGAGGCTAAGTACTTTATGTCTGCCAAAAAATGATTACAACCAACACTTTCCAACAATTTTTTTTGTGTAAAAATTATGCTTGATATTGTTTTTCTCAGCTAACTCAAATGCTAGAATTCGTATGTCCGTTAGAGTTATACCAATCTCTCTTCTAGAGCCAATACATGTTCATGCGTTTTTTCTTGTTCAGCATTGAATACTGTCTCATATCTGTCCAACTTTTTCACTGCTGCCATTTCAGGGATCAACGTATTTGTATGAGCCTTTTTTACCTTTCTTTCAATATGTTAATAATAATATAGTAGAAGTTTTAGGCCAACAAAAAAATAGGTGGATAAAACGGGACATAAAAAAACTCTATTCCGTTTTATCCAACTCATAAGTATCCCGTTTTGTCAAACTCAGACACTTTTCAATACAAACATGGCTTCTGCCTAAACGTGAAAGAAAAATTAGATTAACTAGACATGAGAATACTCGTTAAAAAAATGCCTCATCAAATGTAATACTCGCCGGAATTGTATATCCCATATATTTCGGCAGTACAATATAAAAAACAACGCACTTAAATGTTGAAAATGGCGAAGAAAATGGAGTAAAAAAGGTCCGAGACCTACAACTTTCTATCAACTAGTGATCACGAGACGGGACGCACTGAAAATGATATAATTACAGTCAAATAACAAATTTTTGTCTTCTTCCATTAGATAGCTGCAATAGTCTGGTCATTAGGCGATGTATCCCGTTTTATCCAACAAATTTTTTAGGGCAAAAAAAATATCATATAAAAATAAATTTCAAAATATATAAATAAAAATATAAAAATAAATTTCAGTTAAATAAAACCTTAAAATTAAATGAATAAACACTTTGGGAGAATGCTAGAAAAAACTTTAAATGTCTTTCTACGGACTTTCCCAGTCAATTCCAAAAAATTAATTCATCTATTGATGATCTAAGTTTCTCATGTTACAGGATTGCCGCCCAAAACGGAAAAAAAAAATTAACCGTGTTTTCCCTGTACAGATTATACACAGTATATTAAAACGAAGCACACAATCACTATTATCTTGAGTGACCTATATTATTATTATAGTTATACTATTTTTAACTGCTAGAAAAACTTAACAAAATAAGGAACAACTTAATATACTTAAAATAAATAATGCTATAGTACAGGGGTCGCCAAACCTTTTTGATTATCGACCCCTATATAATTTTTCGAAATCTCCATCGACCCCCNACTACTGCTATAGTAAATGAAATAGTTTAATATAGCTGGAATATAAATATCCCATAAATTGCTCTTTGAGTTGTCCCTTTTAAAAGACAAAAAGTCCCAGTTTGCAAAGAAAAACTCAAATTTCCCTGCATTATGCCTATTGTTCTAGGTAATTTTTAAATTCTCTGTACTTTCCAGGTTTTCCATATTCTCCCAGTGGAGTGGCAACTTTGTATTATAAATTTTATCTAATTAGAAAAGCATTTTAAAATTCATTTACACTAGATTTTTTTAAGGAAAAAAAAAAACACTTTTTTGAAATCTACATAAAAAATAATCTTTCAATGATGATTCTTAGGCTTAAATCAAACTAACAACTTAAATTGAAGATAAATCAACAAATGTTTAAGGAAAATGTTAAAAAAGAAATTTAAAAATCCTTGTATGGACTTACACAGTCAATTCAAAGTATCCAACAATGGCCAATGTTTCTTTTATTATAAATTTTATTTAATTAGAAAATCATTTTAAAATACATGCACACTAGATTTTGCTTTAAGGAGAAAAAAAAGCACTCCAAAAGTGAACCACTTATTCTGCATAAAAATAAACTTTTAACGATAATTTCTAGGTTAAAATCAAAGAAATTTTATTTAACTAGAAAAGCATTTTAAGGTTAATTTATACCACAGATTTTTTTTTCTTTTTAAAAAAAAAAGAGCACCTACAACTTATTAAAAACTGCATAAAAAATAAACTTTCAATCAACAAACCAATTAGAACACACACAATAAATTTTTCATACACATGACAAAGAATGCTAATTATAAGTAAGTTTCCTTTAATGATCGAAAATAAATCCAAAAATTTACACAATATATTTGGAAACAAATACAGTTAATCAAATCAGATTACAGCAGGACAATCAAATGAGCTTAGTGACTTTAAACATGCACAAGAATAACTGAAACATGATGAACAAATGGTTTTACGAGAAATGAAAATATTTGTGCATCACAGTGATTGAATGCTTCAATTAATGGATCAATCAATCTTGCCAAGGGCACGGATCCTCTGCAAGAGTGGTGGATGAGAGTGATGCCAAGCAGAGAAGAGCCAGTCATGAACGGGGAACCCCAAGTTGTCTCGGTTCAGTTTGATCAGAGCGCTACGAAGATCAGCTGCTCTGTGGAGCTCTTTAGCAAAGGCATCAGCTTGAAATTCAAATCTTCTCGATAGGACAGTCATTATGAAAGACAGCAACTACAAAACAAATATAATTACATTTTCCCACAGCAACTAAACACTAAAATTTTAAAAAAGTAAATAAGGTAATAACTTGTTTCAAACTAGAAACAAAATAGAAATCATTGTAAATGTTTACGTACAGTGCACAAAATAATAAATGGACCACCCTGAATAACTTTTGATCTAAAGAACGGTTCGTCATGTTCTAAAACAGGGATGGCGAACCAATGGCACGCTATACAATATTCTGGGCACGCCACCGATCACAAATTTCACTATAAAGCATATTAACAATTAAATTTTTTAAAAAAAACAAATAAACAAATTAACAATTAATGCCAAAACAACAATTAATAACGACAAAAAACGAGCTAACAATAAATAACGAGTAAAAAAAATATATATAGTCCTGCTTAAACTAACATCTTACAACCTAATATAAGTTATTTGTCATCTAATCTGCAACTACAGAAGTCACACTGATGTTACTTTAAGTTGAATTACGCGTATAACTGAGACATTGCCAACAACAACAAAAATTTCGTAGTAAATAAAGACTTTTGAGTTGATAGTATTTAGTATTATTATTTTCCCAATAATCACAAAGTCAAAATTATTTGGCGGCACGTCTATGATCTCATTAAACAATTTTTTGAAAAATGGCACGTTGGTGCATAAAGGTTCGCCACCCCTGTTCTAAAATCTCAGTGGTTTGAGCGGTTGATCTCCATGCTCAATAAATAGTGCAGATGATATTTTAAGCTCCAAAATCAGCAAGCAGATTTACAACTCAAATATTCACATTATTCTTGGTCTGCCAGGCATGGGTTGCACCTGTTTGTCGGTACTAATTAATAGTAATTTTTTCAAGCATTTTTCTATCTACCATTATTTTCTATTTATCGACTAGCAATGGTTAATTTAATAAAAGTAGTGTTTTCAATAAATTTGTCCAATTTAAATATCCTAATTTTACTATATGTACACATATACATGCATTTATTATTATGGCACATACTGTTTAACTAGATTAAATATTTACAACTCCTAAAATCTACTGTGATATAAATGTATATGATCATGCATTTACATCACACTAGCAAGCTAGTTTACATCTCAAAAATTTGTTTTATAGTTTAGTTTGCTTCTAGAATTCATAATACAGTAGAGTCTCGAAAATCCAAGGTAATTGGGGCTGACACTACCTCGGATTACTGAAAACTCGGATTTTCCGAAAAAGTAGAAAATTTTTAACAACTACAAATGAAATTAAATAAAATTAACATATTACCTTAAAATCCTTTATTCTTTAGTATAATGACGTAAAAGATTCTTTACAATTTAAAAAAATGTTCAATTTTTTGTTGCTTCAGTATATTACTTCTCTTTGTTGATGCGATAGTCAGCCAACGCTTCAAAAGCAAAACATCTGCAGGGGTGGCTTCAGTTTGCTGTTCTACATATTTTAAGGCTAGTTCTAAGGCTGCAGAACCTTCACTATGAGATTTCTTTCTCTGATAACGGAGAGTCGTTTTCTTCTGTTCCATATTCTTCCTCATCTTCCATCATTTCTATAATACTTGAGTCTGTTATTTCCAGCTTGTCGTCACTATTTAGCCATTCATTTAGATCAACTGCATTAGAGTCTTCGCAGCCTGGTAATTCCTTCACCAAATCTTTCAAAACAATTGTTTCACTATCATCATCATTAATTTCTTCAATAGGCGTAACCAATTCAGGTAGAAACTTAGTCCACGATTTAATTACTGTCGTAGGTTGAACTTCTTCCCAAGAATCTGCTATCCAGTAGACAACATCTCTCAGACTTATATTCCTCAAAACATCCGCAACACTTTCATCATCAGACTGTACTAAATGTTGCAACAAACGGTGTCGATATTTTTTCCTTAAATTTTCCAATACGCCCTGATCCATTGGCTGAATCAAACTTGTAACATTGGCAGGAAAAAATATAGCACGGATTTCACCACAACGTAGCTCATCATCGTCCGAATGATATGGAGCGAAGTTTCCAAAATGATAAGGATCAAGAACGTGTATTGAGACCCTAACTAGCATCTAAGCTACTAGTACAATTGAACTTGGAAGAATAAAACTTTTGTAGATCTTGAAAATTCCTTTCAAACCAATACCTACCTAGCCACCTTCCAAAACAAAGAGAACAAAAGGTGGTGGGTTACTGAAATTCTTTCCAGGAAGAAACTAAAAATAACGCCTGCATTCTTTTGGTTGCGAGAGGAAATGGGAAGAGCGCTTTTGGTTGCTAGGGGGAAAATTTGGCACCTCGAATTAAGCGGAACCTTGGAGTTCTGAGACTCGAACTTTCGAGACTCTACTGTATTTTGATTTTAATAGCAAATACATTAATTTATCATACTCACTCAATAAATATGTATTAATGACTTTTGCTTTGATATTGATGTAAATTCAAAAAACACCATATACAGATGACATGATATAGACTAGTAAAACTACTTATTAATATTTAAATCAAAAGAAAATAACATACACATACATTTTGTGCTGTAAGTTTTTATACAGAATTATTTACAATTAAGTACTTGTAAGCAATGTCACACATGGGTCAGCTAATCAGGTTCGACACACATGTGACGTTGCAGGAGGCATCCAATTAAATATTATCTCAAATTTTAATCAGTGTGATAATAAATCATAGTCTTAAAGCTGTAATGTTAACACATCATGCACATTCACATGATCAGTCACTACCATGTGATTAGCTGCAAGTACCCAAATGCTTCTATTCAATTAACCTTTTTTTACTTCACATTTAATCATATATATGGGTCATTCTCACAAAAACAGTCATTTTCATGTCCCCAGTATATGTTATGTTTGTTTTACAGCTTACGAAGAAAAAAAATTCAGGGAAAGTGTCCTTCAGAATGCATGCTAACAAAAGAATAAAAAAAAAATTATCAATTTTTATTTTTTATTTATGTTAGGTAATTAAAATATACCAATATGTCATTCCCTCACTTGTCCCCACTGCTGNAACACTGAATTATCACATACGAATATTCAAAGATGATGTAAAAACTTACCAAAAAATAATCAAAACACCATCTCAATTAATAAAAATATCAAGACACAAAATTCGCTGAACAACAAACCCGCCTAGCAAGCAGAAATATCTAAAAAATTAAAAAAAACACATGCACATCGGAAGTAGGCTGTTCTAACTTACGATCTCACTTCCGCCCCGAAACTTTAAATATATTAACTAAACCATCTCAGTTAAAAAGTAGACTATGCAATATAATGAAAGAGAAAAATTAATCAAAAAGTCCTGCAAAATAAAAAAAAAACACTCTTTAAAAAAAGAGAATTTTTAACTGAATAACATTTCAGCGGATAACGGAACAGCAACGCTGTTCTAGTTCAAAATCTAACCCCTTCACTTGAAGAGTGCAAGAGCTTTTTGGCTTCTGTCCAACAGAAGTGCAAAAATCTGCGATGAGTAGCGTACTTTTAGTTAGGTAGAAAGATGCGAGGGGTGGATGGGGACTGGGGATGAATGACTGAGGCAGGAAAAAAAAACGTTATTTGGATGCGCTAAAGTTTGCGAATCGCACGAGGTTTCTCTTTGGTTTTTACACATTTTTGATCAGGATTTTTTTTGTTTTTTGGAAAAATCATATTTTTTAAATTATATTTAAACTCAAAATACTCCATCTAATTTTCTGAAATATTGCTTGGTCATCGCCGCATCGTGCGATGACCGGACGCCACGCCACTGATATATATATATACACACATATATATATGAAAAGTGATTACTCCAATTTGAAATTCACGCATCGTAATATCGCATAAAATTGTTTTGTTTTTTTTGTTTTTTTTTTAAATCATGCAAAATTTTGTAGCAATAATCATTGAAAAGGCGATCTAGAAATGAAATCGACTTACAATGGAATCTGTGTAGATAGAACAAATTAAAAAGTGAAGACTCAAATTTGCAATTCAAAATTTTTTATTTTTTAAGAAAAAAAAAGTTCAGTGTGTTCAAAAACTATCTTGTGGGGGGCAGATTTTCCACCCAATTTATGCTTAGAAAAAAAAAAAAACACATCGCTAGGAGTACGGAAAAGTCTCCCAATAGTCTCCTTTTCCTGAAAATAGTTGCTTTTTTAGCCTTTTCAAGCAAAAAAAGTTGCCAAAGTTGCCTCATGCCAATAATAGTTGCAAATAGTTGCATTTAAGTCGCCTGTGACAACTCTGTCTACAGTTTCCAAATTAAAGTAATTGAGGTATCTAAGACAAATGACATGATATTTATGCATACACTGTAATACATGTGTACACTGTAATACATGTGTACACTGTAATGTATATGTACACATCAAACAATGATTATTTAGATCTAACAATTGTTACTGAAAGACAAATAAATATAAATTAAAAGAAATAGAAGGCACTCATAATACAAATATTAGTAATTGGTTTTTAGATTAGAATTTGATTTTCTGAACTAATTCATGATAAAAGTTAAATAATCATTTAAAAGTCGACAACTCTTCTTAAATATGAAATCTAAAAGTAGGTTCAACCTTGAAGACCCTGATGAAAACAAGAAGAGTCTGATGAATCTCTTGACACAATAAATAAATCTAAAAACCAGTTATGAGTAAAATATAGAAAATATATAAATTTTTATAAAATAAATGTGATTGTACAAAAAAAGTCACTAATTATAATATATATATAATTAATCAGAGTGTAGAAAGCAATGTCATTTTCTCAAGTAGATATTTGGAATTACTGGGATTCTTTAATCGGAAAAACTAAGGTTTAATAAAGTCAAAAGAAATTAATAAGAACTAAATTTTACATAAGTATATAGAAATGAAACTTACTTCATTGTAAGGAGAAAACACAAATTGGAAAATCACAAGGAAACCCACAATAATAGGCTTTACATCATGAAAACCAAATGCTGCATACAAAACTGTGCTTCGGTAGAGAAGAGCAAATACAGCAAAGCAGAAAAACAAGTTGACCTAAATAAAGTATTGTAGTTTATACTTTCTTTCTTAATAANACAACAACTACTAATAACAATAACTAAATAAACAACAACTAAATTCCATTCGTTTAGCATTGCGTCATATGTTGTTCCTACTAAATCGAAGTAGTTGTGTTTTTTTCATATTATACCCAATTGTCCACGAATCTTCAGATTTCCTGCTATGTTTTAAAAAACTTTATTTGTGAAAACCTTCAGCGTGGCGGACAGCTGGCCGCCTTAGGCGGCTAGTTACAAATAAAAGTACAGTGCATGAGCAGAGATTTCTCAGTGATATAAAGCTGTCTGTAAAAAACAGAGCTGTTGTTGCGAAGGATTGGAATTCAGTCCTCAATGGCGACTTGAAACCCACCCAGCTTCAGATTGATGTAATGCTGTGAGTAACACTGACTACATTGCCACACTCAAGTCATTGGTCTCAAAATCGTGGAGCCTAAACCTTCATGACCCCCCCCAGGCTCATAGCAGGGTGTTAAGAGAATACTTTGGATGAGCTTAAACCATCCTAAAGTTAAAGTATACTTTTAGCCCCAGACTAAAAAATTTATGTTTAATATTTCCTTTTCTCCATATTTCCATACAAGCTATCCTAACTAAACATTAAACCCGTATTTAATTTTAAAAAAAATATGCAAGCTCTCTAAAGTTTAAAATTATTAAATTGAAGCAATAAAATGCAAGCTCTCTAAAGTTTAAAATTATTAAATTAAAGCCTACATTTTTAAAAATTTTAGAGAAAAAAAAATAACGATTTTCTAGGTACATTTTCATTTCTTAATTTTCATACATAATGAATTTTAAAGACAAAAAATTTTTAATTAAATTGTATCATTTAAAATTTTAATCTATACATAATTGTCGCCTTTAAAGTACCTTATCTAATATTATGTCTTAATTCAGCTATCCACTAAATGAAAGTAATATAGCAATAATATTTTTAATATGCATGGATTTATGTGTTTGTAAATTTATTTGATTTTAATTGATAATAAACTCATATTTAATAATTAAAATAAAATTTTATTATAAATTCAATAAATAATGAAACTTGTATTGCAACAGTTGTGTCATAAAAAATACATTAATTGATATTATAAATGCAAATAATTTTGTTTTTAATGTTTGTATGAAATATTCTCCCTAATGCTTATTTAATACTTATTAAAATTATTTAACTTTCGAGCAAAAAAGGCCAAATACTGAATATTCACAACGTCCTGAAAAATAAAAATAGTGAAGAATAAAAAAAAAAATTACAAATAGTTATCATATACAATTATTTAAGAATGATGACTACATATTTGAATTAAAATTTGTATAAATTGAATAGATTAGTTGAATTTTAATTTTTTGTCAAACAAACTTGGATTTTTTTTTAAATTAAAATTATTTACAATTTGCTAACACTTAGTTTAAATATTAAAATGTTACACACTCTTACTGACTTAACATAATATAAGGATTATTCAACCTTAGGAAAAACAGACTAGTTTTCAATACAGGTGAGAAATATGATTATAAACATTTGCTAACTGATAGATGAAAACCCAGCAGCAAAATTTTTGGAGCCAATCTGCAGCAATATATTCAAAAATTAAAATTTGTGTGTGAATTTTATGTAAACAGGAAGAGATTATTCTTATAAAAATTAAGCTTAATCTAACATACATGTAGCAAAACTTGCAAATAATGAATATGATAAAGTTATACACAAAATCTTTATGTTGTTTAAGTTTAATATTACACAATCTTACTTTAGCTCTGTCCTAAAGAAGAAAAAATAGATCCTTACACTAAACACGCTAAAGAATTTTGAAGGAAAGGTTTAACATGCAGCTGATAATATTAAATTAAAATATTTTCAATTAAAACGAAGAAACAAACAGAACTATTATTTATGGTGTTTAATTTCTGCCCATTTAAAGTTTCTTCAAGTGAATCAATTATGGCATTACAGGTACTTTACAGGCAAGTAAAACAATAGCTAGAAAAAGAGTATTAAGTGTTTTTTTTTTAATTTTAGTACCTAATTTTAAAATAAATAACAATAAAAATAAGGAAAAACTATTCCTTGTTTTTCATTTAATATATAATTTTCATTTATTTTCATTTTTTTCAGCTAATCTTTATTTATAGTTTAAAAATAAAAATCTGAGATGGAAAATAGTTTGCAGATAGAGATTAGTTGTTATATTCTGTAGGGCCTATGGGAGGGTTTCTGTGATTAAGGATGAAAATAAAAATAACGCATCTTGATAAAATATTTGTAATAGCAATATTATTGTAGCAAAGGCTTTCCTTAATAAGTAATAGAGTTTTATCTTAAAATCCAAAATTTAAAAAAAAAAAATTAAAAAACAAGAAGAATTAAAATAGAATATTGAGATATATATTGATAGAAAAATAATTTCAGTCGTTTCCTTACATTTCGATCTTTAACATGACTTAATTTTCTGTTATATGAATTTTAAATTATGATACATTTCTCTTTATAAAACTGAAATAAACATTCCAAATAATAATTTTAATATTAATTCTAAAAAAGGTAAAGACGAAAAGAAAAAAAAACAACACTATATACTGTTAACATGAAGTAGGCTAAAACATTGATTTATTTGTTGCAAAATGACATATTTGCTTACCTGAGCAATGATTAAATTTTTTAGTGTATGATTTAATTTCCAATGACCAAGTTCATGAGCAAGAACTGCTACAACTTCATCATTATTACAGCCGGTTCTTTTATGCTGCTGGATATAAACGAATAATCAGATATTAGTTAATAATTATTATAAATCTGGTTGAAAAATTTTATTACAGAGATAATAATAAGCAGTAGCTTTATAAAAACAATAAATATTATAACAATGCATACTATCAAAACAGAAAAGCTACAAATTCAATTTTTTTTTTAAGTAATGGAGATAATTTTTTGTTAAGCACCATAGTGATATTCAAATGCAAAATGAGATATTTAATTACACAGTTACAATTTTCCTACGCAATGAAATAAACTCCCATATATTTGTATGCAAAACAATATATATTTTTATTGTAAACATTACTTTGAATTAAATTACTTTACAAACAAATTAGTCTGCTCATCTTTTTTAAAAATTAGGGTTTTCCTTTTTTTCTAAATTGGTAAAATGTAGTTCAAAATCAAGAAAATTTGAGAAGAAAATGTGCCAGGAAATAAAATGTCATTAAAAAAACATGACATTCTACCATTTTTAAAAGTTTTCTGGAATTTCATTATCCTATCTGCTATATCAGAGTAATACTTTGCAATTAAAACTTAAATTTTAATAGGTTTACTGGGAGAGTTAAGTTATCAAGCTACTTTAATTGTGCTGCAAATGTTCAAGATGAAAAGTGTAGTATGTTTAAAAGTTTATTTATTTCAATCAAAGATTACCAATATAAACTACAAATTACTTTCACAATCTACTTTGTTTTTCATGATTGCGAAAAGATTCATGGTCTTACGGTTAAGCAAGTATATTAGATAGAAAGATTTCAGCACTAAGTTAGGAATTGACTAAAACAAAATAACATAAGAAATAACGAATGCTAAAAACCATTTCTGTTGGAAAATATATTAAAATAAATACAATACCTTTCCTTCTTCTTTTTCTGTCTCTTCCTTCTCCTTTTTAGTTTCTTCTTCCTTATTTAATGGGGTGTATTCTTCCAACAAAGTATCAAAAAGAACTATCCGTTTGTTTTTATAAAAACCATAAAAATAGGCATTGCTATGAGCAGATCTTTTAGAACCTTTCAAATAAACGAAATAATTTATTAGTGATTCAATAAATGAATATAAACACTGTCTGTAAGAGTCAATATAAGTAATAATATTTTATTTATGCCCTACTAGAGCTGCACAATGAACTATTGGCAACAGTCCGGGAAACATCCCTGAGGATGATACAAAGACACATGCCGTTATAATTTTGATCTTCTGCAGAGGGAGTGGGTACCCTGCTTTTGTAGCCTGTTGACCTGAGATTAGAAGAGTTATTTGAACCATTTTCTGTACTTTTTTTAAATGTGCATCTAAGTTTTAAAAAACAATTTTTACTACAAACTTTAACTTTATAATAAGAATTCACATGCTTAATAAACTATAGGGCAAAGATGTAATTAAGCAGTACAAATGCTAATTTTTACCTTAAAAAACTTGGTTCAAAACTGACCAAAATAATTCAAATCAAAAGGTTGATATGGAAAGGAGTTTTAGTTATTTACTTAAAATCTTTATACTAACAACATACAGAGTATCTGCTACATTTTAGATTTTCAAATTCATGACTTTTCTTTTCATGACTAATTCCAAGAACAAAAACACAACAATAAATTTAAAAAGCATTATAATAACATTAAGTGAAATGATAGGTATAACCAAAACTGTTATACTCTGCATCTTCATATTTATAAGAAAGAGTTGAAGCAATAAAAGAGCTGAAAACAATACAAAAGCAAATAATTTTGTCTTCTTTTCTGCAGAATTATAATAAATTCTAAAGTTACTTTTCTTGTTCTTCGGAATTGGAAGAAGTACTCCTGATTTTTTCTGTTTTCATTTCGGAATATAAAAAAATCGCCAATCGGCTTGCTTCAGCAAAAATTTGAAATTGATAAAATAAAAACAATAACGAAAATTGTGAAATCACTGAAGTTTAAAAGACAATTCGCTCTAGAAATGATGTTTTTCTTTCAATTTTTGAAAGAATGCCGTAATTTTTAAAGAACACGATAAAAATATTTTATATTTTAATAAACTACGCCTGTCAGTGGGGATTTTGTTAAAAATTCAGACATTCAGAACACCATAAAATTGGGGGGGGGGAGTAGATAACATTTTAAAAATTAGATTTTACAGCGACCTAAATCAAAGGCTTTCCATGATTTTTTTAAAAAAATAGTTAAAATCATGACATCTCACGACAGATTTTGTCCAACGCCGAAATTCATGATTTTTCATTACTTTCCAGGTGCGCGGAAACATAATTAAACAAAGCAATTGTGTAGTTATAATATAATTTTTAACTGCGTCTAAATAAAAACTGATTTATAAAAGGTTGCTATTGAATTTCAGAAAAATTCAAAAAGATACACAAAGAAAATATCTTTTAACCAAAAAGCTTTAACTATGTTCAACAGTTTGAAAAATAACAAATTGTTCTAAAAATAAAAGCATTTTGACTTTTAAGTCAAAAGTTTACTAGAATCACTTTGAATAGTTTTTATTTATATTTCTTTCTGAATGTAACAATTTTAGTCTAAATTTATGTAATAAAATGTTAAAAAAATTGTTTATCACTTAGTTTATCACTTAGGACACAGCAATCAACTAGTTATTAGGTATATTAACAATATTTTTTTGGCTAATGAGAATTACAATATTTAGGATATTTATCTCTAAATATTAATATTATTAACATAAGTTTGCAGCTATTTTCCTTTAATAAAATTACACTTCATAAGGAAATTAAAAAAGCTGAAATAAACATAAATGATGATCACATGATTTTAAATGGATTTGTTTTCCAAAGTAAGGAACAACATGAGACTTAACAAATTTTTTAAACATAAATTAAATTTTAAGCACACTCTGTAAAGGTTTACCCTTTCAGGATTATTACAAACAATGCAAAATATTTTTAAATTGTCACAAACTAAAACATTTATTAAAAAAAAATTTACTTAGTAGTTAAAAAGTTATTTTCACCTTCCACAACAAAAAGCTTTTTCAGTGGAAATTCTATACTCTTAGCTAAATTCTCAATACGAGTTCTCAATTCTCCTTCCGGCAATGGAGTAAACTTATCAAACAACGGTGCAATATAATCAGCATAAACTGTCAGAAGAATCTAAAAGGCAATTTTTTTTTGTAAATTATTCAATATGAAAATGTTAAAAACAAATCTAATATACATTATAAAAACAATTATAATAAAATATTAAATGTTAAATGCATATTAATAATTTCTCAATGAGCTTTGTGTTCATCATTTGCTGTTAGTGTGGGAAAAAATTTTATTACTACAAATGTCTAAGGGAAAGTTGAAAACTCTTAGCTCGGAAGATATAAGTAATCCTACTAATGTTATTGACACAAATCGAACCATGAAAAATAAAGATACAGCGCCAAAGCATAGAATTTCTTCGGAAAACTCTTTCAATGCCATTTAAAGAAAAACATTTATATTAAACAATATGAATCTATGAACATGAACTAAAAAAACAGATTTGTTAATATTCTGAAGTCAAAAGTTGAAACAAGCAACAAGTCAAACTTCTAACAAAATGAAGTATTTCATTCATTGTATATGGTTATTGCAACTACATAGGGAAGTCATCAATCAGAACAAGAAGCCAGTGCTTTCATTAAATTCTAGCACTACTATAAAGTCTAAAGAGAATAATTAGCTAGCAAAAGCATGAATAAAAGTTAAATTATTAAAAAATAACGGGGTAGCAAAAGCATGAATAAAAAAAATAAACTCATAAAGAGATAAACAAAAAAATAAAATTAGAATTGGTAGAAAAATTGGTAGCTGTTCGCTCCAACCTTGTGCTATCTACCCAGCCTTAACCTAAATTAAGCCTTACCTATTGAAACGCAGAGCTATAAGCGATAAGCAGAGAGCTCGCCGCACTTAACTATACTCAATAAAATTAGAAGACCTTTTTAGAACTGCAGAAAGTTGTTGGTTTGTTTAGATATTAGTTTTGTTTTGGAATTTGAGTTTTCTTATAACCCATTACGGGTTTTTCTAGTTGTTTTACAAGATTATAACTATCCCGTTACGGGTACTTCATATTTGTTACTGTTTGTGAATAAAAGTTTTTTTTATAAAAAACTGAACTGTTATTACACTACCTTCACAAGTTTGTATCATTTAATTTATAATATAAACGTGCAATTTCTTTCATTTGCTAATTAAAGTTAAACACACCTAGGAAAAATGGATTTTTTAAATACAAGCAGATTACGATACACTTGCTGTTACATTAATTCACTTTTTAGGATTACATTTATTTAATCTACAATGTTTAACAGGGATGATTGTGGCACAAAATGAAAAAACCTGAAAATTTTATGTGAAAAAAATCTATATCAAGATATCAATTTATAGACCATACCTGACATACATTTAACATAATTTTTTGAATAAGAACTATAATTAAATTACCCTTGAATGAAGAATATTACACCTTTACAGTAAATAATTTAAGAAAAATCTTAGTTTGCACAAGAATCATAATGTTGGATTTTTAAAATAGTGTGAATATGAATCACGATATTGGATTTTAAATCACGTGAATATGAGGCGCAGAGTACTATTTGTTTAAACCACATGAATATGAATCGTACCGCATAACTTCTAAATTAGGTAAATACGAAAATCGATGTTTGATATTCAAACCGCGTGAATAGGAATTGAGATATTAACCGATTCCAGTGCAGTTCCAAATATTTTAAAATTATGTAAATCCACCAAACCAAATGAAACAATTGGCGGATTTCTGTCCCTTGACAGAAGAATGACAACCTATAGTGAATAGAACCTATACTGAAGAAACCTATAGTGAATAGTGTATGTAAGCGTCTCGTTAGCGAAAGTTTCAAAATTTGAATTTTAGATTGAGGAATTCCATGAAAATTACGTTGGAATATAAATTTTTAAATAGTGGTAGTCCGAGAACTGACGGTCTTGAGAAACGCGGAAATTTGTGATATTCCCAGAAAAATCATATACCTTGAGCCTAATTTTTAGAGCTAGAATCGTAAAGCGAAAAACCCAGAATTCTGCAATATTCCCAGAATACATTCTTCTAACTAAAATTTATAATCATGCAAAATCACAGATATTAAATCTTTTATTGTGAAGGGCTCAAAATTAACAGTAGTCCATTGAACCAGGCCTACTCAAATTTGTCTCAGACCACTATAAAATAAATTATCAGTGGATCCCGGACCTGCAATAAATGATAAGGGATGGTAAGCTATTTTGGTCACAAAATAGCATATTTTATAGCAATTATGAACATAATACATTCTACATACATTGTTATTTTTCGCTTAAATTCATCTAAAAATTCATCTTAAATTCGTAATAAAATCTATTCACGACATATAAACATAACAGTGCAAATTTGTTTCAACTAGTAATATCTTTTAGTTACTGGTCTTTAAACAAGGGACTAAATTTTATTAATTTTTAATTCAGTTGCACAATGAAGACAGTAAGTAACTGATATCAAGAATTATCAATTGTTTATTGTTGGAGTTTTAACCAATGAAAGTAATGAATCACTTAATCCTTTCAATCAAATTAAAATTTGAAAAAGTTAGTATATTAAACTAATACAACATCCACTGTATATATTCCTAGAATGTTATTAAATTTTACAAAAAGCAGAATTTTTTAACTGCCATTAACAGCATACATTTACACAAAATTATATTTATAAAAAATTAAAATTTAAATTAAAAATCAGTAAATTTTATTTATAATATATGTGATGCCACATTTTAAAAATTTTATATATATGTGATGCCACAAAAGGCATTACTTTCTTTAATTTATTAAACTTATTTCCTTTTAATCATTCTTAACCAAATTTTAATTTAATTAAACCAATAAACCTTTATTTTTATTACAATTTATAAAAAGCGAATATAAATTATTTTATTCTTTTATTAACAACCACTGAAATGGATAACTTTTTATTTCAATACTAATGTAAGAGTCATTAATTCACAAAATCCAAAATAAAAATCTATTTATAAATTTTTAACTCTTTATTTCTTACAACAAAAATTTGTCAATTACATAGTTATACTAATTCTCACAGTCTTTTTTGTGATTCGCCTTTTCCAAATTATTTTCAAATTTATATTGATTATGGCGGTTGGCTTTATTTTTTGATAAATCACAAATTTGGATCTCCTACCATGCTCTGAACTCTCTGTTGGGAACAATACAATCACTTTTTAAATTGGGTTTTGATTAGGCTGGTTATGGGGGATTTATCTCCCATGGCCTGTCATAAATAACATTATTATTCAAAATTTATTACTTAACTTAAAAAGTTTTATTACGGATAAAATATATTTTGTATCTCGATCTCTACAAATACTAAATAAAAGTTTTATTTTAATTACGATCCAGTTTAGATCTTTACTGCCATTCTCATTATCCTGTTTTCATCACAGTCCACACCTAATTTTTGTCAGTACAATATATATATATATATATATACATATACTTACTTGGGAAATATTTAATATGAAAAAAAAAGCATAGCGATTTTCCTTACTCTTTAACATTACTTAAAACATTGTATAAATGCTGTTGCAAATTTTTATTAAAAACTAGCAGAGAGAAGTTTGAAAGTGGTATAAAATTAAATCAAATATTTAAAATTATCAAACAAAAATCTTTAAATTATTGAAAAAGATATCCATTTGAAAAATATTTTAAGCACATTAAAAAAGTATTCAATTACATATTTATACAAAATCTTTTAACATTAGAGGGATTTTGAGGGAATAAAAAGCTCATATGTACTTACGAAAGATATGAGGACACAGAAGACCCATAAATAAATGAAGAAATAGTCACCACCAATTTTAACGATATGAACTATGATCGAAAGTATGGGAAGCATAACAGCTTGCATAACAATGAATTTCTTTATTCTATCTTTAAAGTAGAAACCTAAAGTCTTAAAAGGAAAAAGCCAAATCACTTTTTAATTTCAATTCTGATATTAACTTATTTTAATTATAACAGAATTTTTTTTACCTGTTTATTGAATCCATGCTTTTCTTCAAGTACAAAAGTCATGTACAAACTAAAAGGTAGGTCTAAGAATGTACTGATTATTGAACCAATCAATGAAAATATTACTGTTTGAGTTATCTGCAAAAGAATAATAAAATTTCCTGAACAAGTGATTTTATAAATAGGCTATTCTAAAGCTACAGATTTTTAAATAAAACAAGTTCCAAAAATTTATGAGCAATTAATTTATCTAAGGTAACAGTTTAACGCCAGTGTGTAAGTAAGATTTGTAAGTAAAAAACATAATTTTAAAATTTTTATAGGGACACTTTAAAAAAAACTTTTTTTTTTTTACATGTCTCATTAAGTGATTAATCGGATAATTTACATTAATAATCTGTCTCTCTGTTTTCTAATCATCATAACTGGAACCAGTTTTAAAAAATACAGAATAGTAAAAATAGTATAACATAACAAAGTAACAGCAGAACTATCGATTTATAAAACTATTACATTAAATATTTTGAATGTTAAGTAATTACAATAAAGCTTAAATATTAGCTAATTAAAAGTTGATATTAAATTAATGCTTTATATGCTGCTGAATGTTTAATACTTGTCTTTGCAACAACGTGTAATTAATATATAACGTTTAATACTCTTGCTCATATACTAAAGTTTGCATTGCACAATCACAAGTTTGTAAACATTTCAAATTTACACAAAAAAATTACATTTCATACATTAAAAAAGCAATATAATGTAAACTGGTAAACCTAAGTTATTTGACTATAGTCCATCTGAAAACATAATTTAGTCCCAGAAAAAAAAATTCCCATATCTAATTTAAAGGTATGAAGCAAAAGCTTCATACACTTAAATTTGATGAGGATTTAAATGAAAACTTATTGACTTTAAATTAAAAAATTTAAAAGAAAATTGATTTTGAAGAAAAATTTGCTAACTTGAAAACAAACAAAATATAAGTTTATCAAATACAAAGTAATTTGTCATGGATTAGGTGCAAAGGCAAGGTTCATCTTTTAAGCTATTAAAGAAGAATGTATATCAATAATGATGAAACACTTAAACATAAAGTGATGTTTATAAAAATAAGTTAATAAAAATAAAAAAGCATTAGAACAACACCAAATGATAAACGCATCACAAAATACAGAAACAACATACAAATATTAGACCAGATTTTACAATAAAAATTTCAAGTAACTTTAATTTAATATTATTTTATAAATTAATGAAAATAACACCTTTAAAAAGTTAAGTTTCACTAAGAGCTTGTTTCTAAAAACCGTAAAACTAGAACAGCCTTGTTTGTTTTTATTTTTTTAAATATCGGATTTGTGGGATTTACTGTTTGAAACTGTCTAAAAATAAGTAAACAAAAAGGGTATAGGTATGAAATAACTTATAAATATGAACTACTTCATCTAAAAAAAATACTTATTTGAATTTTTTAGTGACATTTAATAGTTAAAGACTAATGAACTTAGAGAGAAAAAAAAAGTTAAAAGCCAAAGTTACTACTGTTATGTCTAAAGTTTTACCACTCCTTTTTTAAGTTACTTAACTAATGATACTTATCCAATATTCAGCTATGAAACCTGAAATGAACAAATTATTTTTCGTAGAACCCTGGCACTTTATAAAAAAGTTCATTAGTCGCAGCGAATATACAAAATTAAAAAACAAGACGAAAGAAATACTATTATTATTTTGAAAATATTTAAGGAATGTTAAAAATGAAAATATTAGAAATATGAATTTATTCTAGGTGTACGTTAAAAATGTATAAAATAAGCTGAGTGATTGTATTTAAAAAAGAACTGTAATAAACGTTAAAAATACTTAACAAAGAAATGTAAATCCTTTGTCTTGAATTTAGCTATTTTATTTTGAATTTAAAAGAAGAGAAATACTTAATGATTTTTTTTATAATTCATATCCTTTTCCCAATTTGTTTAATATATTGTTAAAGAAAAAAAAAATTAAAAATTTTGCTACTTTTTTTTTATTGGCATTTTGCATAAATAAATTTATATAAACAACAAAAATATTAAATAATTTATGGATTATTGATTGGGTATAAAAATCATACATTCACAGCTAGTAAAAAATCGGAAAAATCCAACTTTCAGAAATCCTTTCAAGGAACACTAGAGTTTTTCAGAACAACTTTTGAGAGCATCAGGTCTATCAAATGTCAGAAAAAAGAGACAAACAATGAGGAAACAAATATATTGTACAATAATTCTGCATACCTCATGATCCTTTCCATATCCAAAATGAGTAGTAACTTTACCACTTAAAGCCCACAAACATGGAATTCCACCGAATACTAAAATACCCTGAAATAATATGAAGCAAATTGTGAAAAACAAATTAATACATTATCATACCTACATAACTTTGACTAATCATTCCATACTTATATCAAATAATTATTAAAGCAGAGAACATCCAATAGAACAAACTTACCGTCTGTAGTAATTGTTCATATATTGAACAAACAAGCTCAAACTTGTTTTTATCTAAGTTGTAGATACGAGATTTAGCATAAGTTTCTTGATCCAAAACACCAACTAGCTCTACTGGAACTGAAATGGTCTTTTTCGCAACTTTATACTATAAAATATTTAAATATAATTATAAAATATTTAGAATTAAATATGCTTTTAAAATATTTAGAATTAAATACACTTAAAAAATTTCATTTTACATTAATAATTATAAAGGTGGAAAAAGTTTACAAGGTTTGAGTACTCAAAAATGACACCCATTTGTGAGAGCTCAAAACATGTCAGCTTTTTTCACCTTCATGATTTTTTAAGCAAAATAATTCTTTATCACATAGGTAGTACAATATCAACTTTTTTTGTAACAGTGATCATTTTGGAAACAAACATTAACAAAGTTATGTAACCCTACTTTAATAATAACTTTATTATATATCTTAATCTTACAGCAAAAACAACCAATTTCATTATTTGCTATACAGTATATAAGTCTCACATTGTTTATTTATGTGTCATCATATTGTTAATTTTTTTAAAGTTAGTAAACACATATTTTTCTCGTCATTTTAATGTTGTAAACACAAGTTATTTTGCTTTCACTAGTTGATACTTAGGGGAGATTTCCGTATCGTGATCTGTGGCAGAATAATAGCCACAATTTTGGAAACTTCCGGGCAGTGGTCCGTGATAAACTTTAAAAAAAAACATCACAGAAAGAGACCAACTTGAAAGGTAAAACTTGTTGCTACCCCCAGACAAACATCTACATATTTTTTTTTTGTTTTTTTTTTAATTTTTGCCAGTTTAAAATCTACTTAGCACCTTGGCGATTGTAGTTGGGGCGACAGATCATGATACGGAAATATCCCCAGCACTTATCTTACTTAGCAGAAATAAATAATATACTGCTTATTTCAGTATTCATTTTAAAGCTAAAAGGTAAGATGTTTTGTGTTCAATAGTTAATCAAATTCTAATTTTATTTAGTAAGTATAATATATTGTTTATTTTTAAATCTATCATTTCAATTTGAATTATTTTTGAACAGTTATTAATTCTACATAAAAATTTGCTATGTTCGTTGAAAAGACGTTGATCCTGGTTAGAACCAAAAAAACTTCTAACGACGAAAAAATTGCTGCTATCAAATGTATGTGTACTTTAAAATGCCAGATGTAAATTTTCGGCCTAGAAGAGACATGGCGATTTTTTGGCGGTAGATCATGATAGGGAAATCTTCCGCACGTCAAAACAATTTGAACTTTATATAATAAACAATAATAAATCATATATTATTATTAAAAGGTAACAAGAATTTCATATGTTAAAATTATAACACACACAAGAGACATAGAATTGAATGATTATATAATCGCATCGTAGAGCACATTTTAAAAGGGAAGTAAATAAAAATTATATACCTGGCGATAAGAAAGAAAAGTGTTCCAAACATAAACAATCCACGAAAAAATTAAAATAGCATTCATTATTTCTTGTGGCTCCCATACTGGCGTTAACAGTAGCTTTCTTATGAAAGGAACTTTTAATAAAGGAGTAAAAAGCTCCTCTATAAACTCTCGCTGCATTTTTGGAATACTGCAAAACTAAACACAATAATTTATATTACATATACAAATATTAATGTAAAAGTCAATTTCGTTGAATAATACTAAACAAAATCGAAAAGCCGGGTCATCACTTGAGTATGCTTCCTGTATTTTATTTCTGTCGGAATAAAGATGAAAACTGATTAACCGGTTTTCCTAAGGACCATTTTCACTGGAACATTTCCACAGAAAACATTTTTCTGTGGAAAACTCGCCAATCAAGTTCCCGTTCTCATGCTCCCCTGTAAGGTATTGGCGATGACAGGAGGCAACCTAGTTGAAAGCAATTAGCGGTTTCGGTGAAGTTGAAACATGTCATATGATGGTTGCCCGGTTGCTTTCAACTAGCAACTGAAGTTAAAACCTTTCAACTTTAGTGGAGCAACCAGATTAGTTGAAACGTGTCATATAGTAGTTTCCAAATACTTTCAACCTTAACTATCCCCTCTGCAGAGGATCAAAATTGTGAAGGCATGTCTTCGGATCATCCTCAGGGATGCTTCCCAGACCGTCGCCAATAGCCCATTCTGCAGCTCTAGTGCGCGGTTTCGGTGAAGTTGAAACGTGTCATATGATGATTGCCCGGTTGCTTTCAACCTGCTTTCAACTAGCAACTGAAGTTAAAACCTTTCAACTTTAGTGGAGCAACCAGATTAGTTGAAACGTGTCATATAGTAGTTTCCAAATACTTTCAACCTTAACTAGCAACCATTTAGTAAACAAAATACACGTGCTGATTCTGACGCATCCTGAATTTTTATCTTTTAAATTTAAACTTCGTTTAATCTTCTAACTATGACTGTTTTAAATAAAATTCTAGTAATATATGCATTTTTTTTTTTTTTTTTTTTTTTTTTTTTTTNTTTTTTTATTTTTTTTTTTGAAATTTTTAAAACGTATCCTTGTCTTTGGGACATAAATAACAAAGATTATGCGAATAAACTTATTTCCCTATAAACTAATTTCCTCTGTGGAGATATTAAAAGTTACAAATTATTATTGAATTTTAAAAGTGAATGAAAAGAAAACTAGCATATTACTGATTACAAATGTTTAAATATTTGAAAATTCAAAATTATATAGCTTGAACGCTAAGTTTCTTAAACTCATTTTGACAGATTTTGATGGATATTTCTTTGACAGATATTTCCGAGTACTAATGAAATTTTGAAAGCAAACGAAAGAAATTATTTTGCTTTTAAATCGCCTTTTTTTCTGTTCTAGTTCTTCTTTCAGAACCTCAGCTATCAGCTCAACGCCTACTTCAAGTACATCGTCAATAATCGCTTCAATTAAAAGAGCTTTTAGCAATAGACTTTATTGAAAAATATAAGTTCTGGTATTGGACTGTTATATACTATAATAGCTCAATACCAGTGCCGTTCTGGTATTTGACTATTCAGAGTTGGTTGAACAAGTGAAGGTTGTAACGTGTGATCACAAACGAGAAACCAAAAACCGGTTTCTTAACGAGTTGCCTCCACTTGGTTGCCTATAGTGTCATCAGCACTTAACTAGCAACCATTTAGTAAACAAAATACACGTGCTGATTCTGACACATCCTGAATTTTTATCTTTTAAATTTGAACTTGGTTTAATCTTCTAACTATGACTAGTTTTAAATGGAATTCTAGTGATATATGTATTTTTTTTTT